CTTTTGGCTTCGATTTCTCAAAATTTCAAATGGGCTAATAAGATTACGAAATTAACTGTATTTTTCACCATATTAATTTTTGTTTTTAAGTCATTTTTTGTTTTAATAACTTTTGATCTAAATTTTTTAAATTTTGAACATTTTTTATATATTTTTTAATGAATTAATGCATTTATGATATGTATGAATAAAATACATACATATTTGAACATAAACACTGTAAAAAACCATGTCGTTCAAAAATGCCAACCTCTGTTCAAAGCTGCCCCCTGGGGGGGCAGTTTTGAAAACTTTGAGTTCGTCCATTAAAACAGTAATAAAATATATTTATCAAGCTTATAGTATGTCATATGTATATTCATTTTAAAGGTTACATATGTACCTATTAGTTAAAATTTATAAGAAACCAAAAATTATAAAATAAAAAATTTTATAAGGCTTGAAAGCAAAAAGTGTTCAAAGGTGCCCCCCTCTCCCCTACTTCATAAATTAAACCTATCGAAATCTAAAAAAAAAACTGCGTTAAGGTCAAAAAAGGGTACACATTGTTGATCAAATGAAATCTGACTTTATCAAATATTTGCACATTCTGATATTTTTACATATCTATGATTAGGTCTGATGATGTGACGACACGTCGTTTCATTCCTCCAGGTAGCACCCCCACAAAGTGTGAAAATTTAAAAAAAATTCTAAATCGCTTATCTCTTCTTTTTGAAAAAAAACCCTTTCCTTAATCTCAAGGTGGGATATATGGGTCCACCAAATAAAGGACACATCACAATAGTTTTACTAATCCTTTACCTTGTCTGAATATGGAATCCGGTGTTTCCCTCACAAAAGGGTCAAAGTTTTGACTCCAAAGTTTTTAAAACTAAAATATCAAAACTACAATTGTTATAATATATGTATGTAGACTTTGCGGACATATTCTTGTCGACAATGCCGAATGTAACATTTTATCAATCATGGTTAATGTTTTTGGTCTTAACTAGCCAACCACAATGATTAGGATCATAAGTTCTTTAAGTAAATCCATTTTTATAATCTTTAACTTTGAAACAATAAATTTTCAAATTGTTGCCTAATGTTTATTTAAATCAGTCTAGGTCGTACAATATTTAATATTTCATTTTGATTTCCGATATTTTAATGTACCTCGACTCAATTCCATTAAAAATAGCCATCCTTTGATATATAAAGTTCTTAGTAGGAGGGATAACTGCTCATAAAAATTATACTATCCACTATTTGGAATTGTCCTCATATTTTGGAAGTAAAGTCCAAATCGTTTATAACGACATCATTTGTAACGAAATATCGGTTATATAGACTTTCCCAAAGGCCCACAAATTAAAATGTTCCAAATTAAATAAGCGTAATTTGGCTATTTGGAATTTTGTGAGGTTAAACAACTCTTAAAATAAGTATTCAAATACCCATTTACAACATAGTTCCCATATAACGATAAAACCTGATTTTAATCTCCGCTTATGAATATCGAATATGTTGGTGTTTCTTTTTTAATTTGAAACATTAGCTACTTTATAATGCCCCTTAAAATTGTAAATAGAAATTTTAAAAACTTTTCGAAACCGGTCATACTCCTCATACTAGATCAACACACGTTCTCTTTCGTATTCCGCCCGAATTTCATGAATGGAGAAACATTTCTATGGTTGTTATTTTATTTTGTATGATCCTTTAAATTTTATTTTATTTTATTTTTTTTTGAACTTCTTTTGAAATTACAGTCGAAATCAATAATGTGGTGAATTATGAAGACCTACTAAAACACATTTCTTTTTTTGCAAATTAATATTTTAGTTTTATTAGATTTTTGATAAGATAGTGAAATTGACAATTTTCCATAAAAATTCAAGTATTAAACTAAAGTTCTACTCTTTCTTTGCAGAAATTAAACAATTTTCAAAATTTAAGACTTTTGCAGAATGAATATCATTTAAACACTTTTAATAACAGAACAAAGTATTTTTTTTTTTATAAAATTGAAATAGAAAAAACAAGCAGTGAAAATAAGAGCAATAAAAATACCCCCTTTCAATAACAAAAATAACAAAATTTGGATTTCATATTTTTATACAAACAACACAAAAATGTAAAAATAGCAACATTTTATCACCAAACAACAAAATGAATTAATAAAACGAGTTTTGCAACGACAACAATTTTCAACAACTCCATATTGATAAATAAAAAAACGAAGTAAAAACAAAAACCTACTGCATTCGTATTATTTTGATTTTGCAATAATTGTTTCTGCATTGAAAAGTCAACGGGAAAATTCCGTTTCTTCGTTATCGCCACACAGTTAGCCCCCCATTTAAATGCTACTTATGGCGCCACGTCGCAATCACAATACCAACAGCATTGTAACGCAGCAGCAAACACCGCAACAACAATCAACCGCAAATCAAACGTCGTCGTCATCATCCTCCTCAGCATCTTTGTCATCGGTGGTGGCAGGCGGCGGTGCGACATCTTCACCGTTTTTGGTGGCCAATTCTGGCACGGCGTCATCAGCGGCAACGACGCTTTTTAATAGCTTCTATACGACGTCAGCACCTACGCAACACAACGAGGAATCTGGGATTAGCAACAGCATCAGCAACAACAACGGTAATACGAATAACGGCGCCAACAATATGTCACCCATGCAAACCGCAATAACCACCAGCAACAACAATAATACATTGACTCCTAATCATAACAACAGCAGCAACAACAATAAGGGAGATCAATATGTTCGTTGTTGCCATCCTGGCGGTGAGTGCTTCAAATCCGATTCTCCCCTGATCAATTTGGATGATCTCGCCGATTGTGTGAAAGTGATTTGCAACAATGAGAATTGTAATGTGGGTCAGTATATGCATCGGGAGTGCTTCGAAAATTGGGAACAGTCCGTTCTACAATCCCTCAAGTCAATGGGTGGTAGGGCCCGATCATGGTCTGATAGGCAAAGGGCACAAAATCTATGGACTAAGAAAGGTTACGATTTGGTCTACAAGGTATGTGGCTGTAAATGTACTCGAGGCCATTTACGCAAGGATTTGGAATGGGTAGCACCCAAGCCTGCCGGTCAGCAACAATATTCCATGAATGGTGGCCAAAGGATAATGAATGGTAATGGTACCACAAATGGTGGATGTCAGGAGGATGATGATAAGAAGAAAAAGAAAAATAAACGGAATCGCCAGCAGCAGCAACAACCAGCCCAGCAGCAGCAGTCGCAGCAACAAACAACGCAAGCGAATAAAACTTTGGCACCTTTGCAGGTCAATGGTCAGCAGCAGCAGCAATCTCAACAGCAACAACAACAAATGTCCAATGGAGTTTCTTCCAATGGAAATAATTGTGCGCTGGAACACAAAACCACCGATAACAACCAAGTTGGTCATCACAATTCTTCTTCTTCTGCTACTTCAAATTCCACATCTTCTTCAATCACTAACAATAGTACACCCAATGTAGGTGTCATTGGTTCGGGTTTGCATCATCAGCAACAGCAACAAAATCAAATACAAAACAACACCCAATCTTCTTCGGGCCTAGCTGAGCTACCGGCCACCGTCATGTCCTCAATCAATAATCTATTGAATGGCTCCAATAATATTTTGGGTTTGGATTTACGCCCACGCACCAATAGCCTCTCATCGGCCAGCAATAGCCACAGTGGTTCCACCTCACCCTCGGCCATATCCTTCTGCAGTGGTGCTGGTGAACTAACCATGGTTCCAGCACCAACCACCATCACCATATCTTCCAACGGTCTGGCGAATGGCACCAGCGTCACCACCAATCAATTGGCCACATTACAAAATTTAAATTTAAATGGATTTTATCAACCTCAGGCCAACTTAAACAATCAGCAGCAGCAACAACAACATCAAACCTCATTAATGCAACAACAGCAGGCTCAATCATCTCTAACTAAAAATATTCTTAATGGATTACAATCGTCTGTCCTGTTGGGAAATGGTGTAGGCGGCGGTCTAGGATCTTCTAATCCGGCTACTACCGCATCAGTAGTTGCAACCACAGCTTTATTGATTAAACAACAACAACAGCAGCAGTGCTCTTCTGCCAATGGTCTCAAACATTTGTCACCATTCGAACAGCAACAATTGCTGTTGCAACAAAAAGTCAAAGAGGTGGAATTGTATTCGGAGAGAGTTCGGTAAGTGAAGACTTTTTTATTTTTCTTTAATTTTAGAATTTTTATGAAATGTTTAAAAACTAAAAACCTTCAATTTCCTATAGAAGACATTGTAAATGTCTTTAATAGAGGAGCTTCTAGTCTTTCTTTACATAGGCCCTTTCAAATGACTTATATAGAAAACTCTCGAAACACTCTCATCGAAGTCTTTTAAATGTGTGTCTAGTGTGATAATTCTTGATAATTCTTTCCAAAAAAAATATTTTTAAAAAATCCACGCCTTTTTCCAGAACATTCGTAAAGTGCGTACATACATTGAAGTAATCCCCGATCAAGTTCCTACTCTTATTTATCAACCGAAGTGGCTGTAATTTGGCATTTCGGGGTCTGATAGGATAAAAGACTTCCGGGCGAACAATCGTTGATATAGGTCTATGGTTTTTTGGCATATGAAGGTTCCAGACCGGTTTAAGGTATTTTGAAGGTCCTAGCCGAATTTTTTCCGCGGCTGCATTTTTGGTTTCTCAGAGGGTAAAATACCTCCCATCTGAAATATATGGAGACGATCCACTTTTGAACATAACTTCCTCCATAGTGATGGGTATAAAAACTATAAAAAAAAAATATTAAAAACTTCTAGAAGACCTTCTGAAAACTTCCATAGAATCGAGGGCTTTTGAAGAAAATATTTATGAAAATTCTACTAAGGAAGAGAACTATCTCTGTTTATTTTTAAGGCAAAGTCATTCTACACTCGTTCGGTCTTGTGGCACATTTAATTAAAATTTAGTTTCTGTTTTATCGTGTCATTCTTGTTTTTGTTTTTTTTTTTCAACACTCCCCATTATCATCTGCTTTAATTTTTGTTGTTATTTATTTATTCGTTGTTATTTTTTTCTTTGTTTATTGCCTTAATCACTCACCGAGTTCTGAGAAATTATGTTAATTTTATTTTATTTGCTTAATTAAAAATTACAAATTTCATTGTTTATTATGCATTTCCTTTTCGTTTGGGAGTGAGTGAGTGCAGAATTCGGTAGGTCAAGGTTGTTGTGTTTTATTTTAAAACATTTTTTTTGTTGGCATTTCGATAACAGGAAATTAAAATGCAAATAAAAATTCGACTAAAATTAAATAGATTATTTGTTGAGTGTATAGAGTAATTACACTCACCAGCTCGAAGGACCAAAACCAAACCTAAGGGAATCTGTGGTACACCACATTTTGGAATTAGGGCATACTTTTTTTCTCTATAATAGACGTTTTAATACAAAAATAATAGAGGTTAAACGTAAATATTTCGAACGCACAAAATACAATTGTAAAATAGAAATAGAAAATTTGGTCCTTCGACTTGACAATATTTAAAAAAAAAATTCTTATAAACATATGATCTATAAATTCGTTTCAAATTATCAATCACAAAACAGCTCGAAGGACCAACATTTTTATTTTTCATAACCCAATTTTTTTTTATTTTAAATACTTAAATTATGAAAACAGCTCGAAGGACCATAATTCATAATTTTTTTATTTTAAAATCTTAAATTATGAATAATATTTTTGCAACTACCAAAACAATAGATGATTAGAAATTATGTGGATACATTTTAAGCGTGTATTGTTTTTATAATTAGTTGTTTTTTTTGTGTTAAAAAAAAATAATATTCATAATTCCGGTTTGTTGAACAGCTGCTGGTTTTTTCGAGTGTTATCATTAAACTTTTGTTTTCGCGTAACATATTTTTATTTTGGCATATTTTCTCTTTTATGCAAGTTACTAATCGGGGATTTTTTTTTAATTTTATAATTTCTTCATTTCGTTAAACCGACAAACGTTTGTTTGAATACCAAAAAACACAACATTAATTTTTTCAAGGTTACTGCAATATTTGTGCTAAAATTAAGATAATTCATAAATTTCGATTTAATAAACTGGTTTTTAATAAACAAATAAGTCCGATAAAACTCGTTAAAATTGTATTGCAATGCATCTATAATAGCAGAAAATTTTTATTTTGGAATTCAAAAATCAATTTTGCATAATGAAGCGCCACACTTTGTGACAGTGGGAGGAGTAAAATATCAAAAATATCGATAATGAATACAAATCACGTAATTTAATAGGATTGGAAGAATAATTTAATAGAGCGGGTAAGAAATTATAGATTTTATGGCTGGCATTCCATTATCACATGAGACAAAGGCCAGTTAATTTGTCTGTGAAATTTAACTAGAATTTGGAATATAAAAATTTGAAACTTTCACTTTCTTTGTGACGAAGTTCTAAGGATTATTTCGATATTCCTCAGATAATTATTTGTATTCTGTATTTAGAAGAGATTAAATGCTATGAAAGAAGATATAACTTTGTATAACCTCTAGGAGAAGATCTTTTGAAGATGTTCAATGTATTATAGCCTATAGAACCTTATTCGAATACATCCTATACTTTACAATAACATTATAGGGTCCTCGATTTTAGAAGACGATGCTTTTTGATATAGGGCAGGGTCTAGTTTTCTATAGAAAATTATTTTCCGACTAAGGTTTTGTGAATATGTGTTTTGATGGTGTAACAGAACGATCGATATCCATAGATTTTTAGAATGTTTTGGATGGATAAAGAGATATTTTGGATAATTGTAGGTTTTCATTATTTTATTTTGAAGTACTTTTTTTACATTAGATTATTATTAATAATTTTAATGGATTTTCAGAGCTAAAAGACTATAGATTTTTACAGCTTCCACTATAATGTGGAGTTAATATTAGGTTGGGGGAAAAAGAAATCCATTATTTTTATGTGAACTTTAGGACTTTATTTAACGTGCTTGGGAATGTCCGATTTGAACCAAATATTCACCGTTTTGTTGCCATTTTAAAGGTAACTTCTCCGATTTTATTGACATTTTCGACGATCGGCGATTGTCGACCGGTATTTCTTTTCGCCAACATAATTTTTAGGGGATTAAATGGACCAAAAAATTAATTTCTGTCTATTTTTCTGGTCGCTCCAGAGGCCGCAATTATGGCCCGAACAAATCGACAAGGCCAAATAATAAGTATGGCTCTTTGCCCACGGTGAAGGGAATCTGAACAAGTAATTAGAAAGGCTGTACTGAATATTAGTAATATTGGGAAAATATGTCAGTGTAAGGAAGGTGTACTTTTGACCTCAAATCGGACAAGAGGATGCAACTATCACGAAATATGGCCCAGGCTTGGAATAAGCATCCACAGAAAGTTTGAGTTCCGTAATAGTTGTGTTAGGGTATCGTATGGTCGGCCCCGTCCGATTATACTGCTCCGCTCACTGATTTTTTTATATTATTGGAATGAATTAAAATACATTCTTTTCGTTTTGTGCTCATTTTACGAATGAATTTATGGCGATAAATTCTTTACTAAACGAGCATTCGCCAAAGAATGTTTCATATACACATAACAAACGAGTGAGAGCACACAACAACGATCGTACGTTTTATTTGGTGGTTGAAATTCTTTCTGACATTCTCTCACGAATGAAAACAAACATTCCCGAATTGTCGCGAATGCTCAAAACAGCAACAACAAACGTTCGTGAACTCAATAGTTGTTGGGCATGTGTATTGTTATTCCACACACTTTCTGTTACTCACACATTCATTTGTTGTGTGTTTTTATTTTTTTTATGATATATTTGTTTGTGGTTGTTTTTAACAAGCTCGCGAGCATTCGCGAACATTTGTTTTTTGAGTTTTTCAAAAGAATGTTCTTCAGTAACAAATGCTCGCGAACGAACGAATCGACGATGCTTGCAGCGAAATTTTATCGTACGTGAATTTGTCGTACAATGCGAACGTTCGCGAGAGATTGCAAATGCTCGTTAGAAAGAGTCTATTTTGATCATTCTCCGCACCCTGGTTTCTAGGAATATTTTATCTAGAATTGCCAGAGTAGTATTTATGGATTCTTTTTAATATTTTAAATTCTTTTTAATATTTTAATTGTTGATTTTTAAGATTTTTTTGTCAAGTTGTTGGCCTATAGCCTATATCATGCTACTTGGACAAGTATCATTTGGTATTTTGGACAAGTTTTCAAATCGAATTGGTTTTAGTTTGACATTTTGTTTTTTTATTACCAAAAATATCAATATTGATCCATTTTTAGGGTAGCCCTCCTAAATTTCGTTAATTTTAACAATATTCGCAGTAATTTCTTATTTTGGTTTCATTCGGTTTGGTTTCATTGTGAAACTATCAGGTGATCGAATTTCACAAAAACTCTACTGCAGACAAAAAAACATTTTTTTTTCATTTTTAATATTTTTTTTACCAGAAATGATAAAATAATTTTGTTGATGACGACATTATATTCTGTGTGATATTTATAGAATTTTCAACTACCCAATTCATTCAATACATAATTTTCATGTGTGACTCGTTAATATTTTTATTATTTTTTTGGTTGGTGTACATATTTTTTTATTTATCTGTCAAGATATGATTGCACAATGTTTGTATTGTATTTTTTTTATTATTATTTCAAGTGTGTAGTTCACTTTGTTTCCAAGTAAGAAAGTAAGGTAAAAATACCTACTGCCAATAGGTATTCATTCTTTAATGGTGTTGTTGTCAGTAATTTATTTTTTTGGCTAGCAATATTTACGTCGTCTGATTTATTCTTTTTTAGACCATGTGGCGTCGTCTCTCTCTCTTGTCTTTCGAAATTCAATGTCAAGGTTAATGGTGAAAATTATTATTATGGCTTTCTATCTCATTCACATTTCACTTTAAATGTATTCAGTTGTCATTTTTTTTTGTTAAGCTCTTAAAAAGGCCATTACCTGTCAAATTATTATTTTGAATAATTAACCACAAAATAATGAATTTATTTTCTATACACCATTTTCAATTACAAAAGTGTTAGAAGGCATTATTTGGTACTCATTATTATTATCAAAGAACATTAAACCCATTCTCCCATTATACACTTTTATTGACCTTGACCAAAAAAGTAATTTTTATTATTTCTTA